TCTTTTAGAGATTTGTCTAATAGAGGAGCAAACTCCTCTATTTTAATCTTGGATGCGCCTGCCTCCAACCGCCGTTGCTCGACAGTCCTTTTCCACGCCGACTTAAGTGGATGAAAAACAGAGACGTCCATGCGTTGGAGAATGTGTGTTGAGTTAGGGTAAAGGGAAATCAGCTCAATCCCATTCTCTGAGCAGATTTCGCTCAGATGAAGAGTAAGGTGGGAGGTGTGCCCATCTAAAAACAGGACGACAGGTCTGGGAATTTGATTTGCCAGCAACCAAGTGTGAAAGATATTTGTGACAAATTCAAAAAATGTCTCCCTCGTCATCCAGCCATTCTCTGATTTACCAAAGCCCCAGGTGCTTGGTACCTGCTGGACGATATTTGATGGTACTCTTTCGTATGAGTAGACGATCATTGGTGGTGCCAAGTCACCTGAGGCATTTGCTGTGAAAAGGACTGTGAGACATTCCTTTTCATCGTTTCCTGTGATCGTGTAAACCTGTTTCTGACCTTTCCTTACGTATACTTTTTTTGCCTTTAGGGCATAGGAAGAAGGCAGTTTCATCACAGTTGAACACCCTCCTGGGGTTATCGAAGATGGTCATCAGGTTCTTGCCTTCTAGGTATTCTCTTATTTCTTAAAACTATTTCCTGATGTGTCCCTCTGTGACATTTGCCCTGGTGGTTGTTAGGGTTTGTGACACTCTGGCCGAAATTTCAGGATGTCTTCCTGTAAATAGAGCCAACCATTTATCCCCAGGGGCGCTGTCGGAAAAGGGATTTTCTCGATCCAAATTCTTCATTAATTTCTGGACGCTGGTGAGAAGCTGGTCTTTGCTGATAGGGAAACCAGCGCGTCCAATCGCAATAACCCAGTCGACGATTGTTTGCTTTTCTTCGGGAGTCAAAATAGACGGACGTCCCATCTCGCAGAAAGTGGCATACTTTCCACTGATCTTGTCCTTCAAAGTCTGCCTGGGAATGCAGAACTGCTTTGAAGCAGCGGAAACCGTCATCCCATCTTGCACTGCTGCGATGGCCGCTTCCAAAGTCTCCTGGGAGTAAGCTCTTCTGGATGCTTTCGGAGTACAGTAGACATTCTATAAAAAAAGAAACACAACTTTGTAGGAGATAAAAAACAGTGACATAATAAGTGTTCATTATATTCTTGAACACACAGTTATATACATTTGAATAAAAACCAATCAATAAACTCACTTACACATTTAAGATGTAGTATTTTTAGCTATAAACAACAATATTTAAACTAATTCAAAGTTAAGTTACAAATCAACCGAACCACACAACACAATTAAGGTTTGTTAGGTGCACATATGTTACTCAATTTTTAGCGTTAATTAATATTTTAATGAAACTATTTTTTTACAATATCTGTAAGTACATAGAAAACCACTAATATCTTTATATTTTCAAACATGTCATAGCTTAAGGAAAATTCTGCAAAAACAATGATTGTTCTAGCTGGTTGGAGAAAAAAGTTATAGCTGTTTTTCACAATCCATGTCCGTCAAATTTGAAAAAGTTAAATTTAAATATATGATAATTTTTATAAATTTGTATTAGGTCTATACTCTAGAGTGACCTATATATAGTTTTTTATGTTCAAGACATAGGAAACTTGCCTTAAAAATTTGAAAGTGTTATCTTAAATGGTTTGTCAATAATTAAATGTTTTGGTCGCCCAGGCTACATTTGGTTGTCGATTCCGAGGCCTGAAATGGTCAAAACGGTGTATCGAAAAAAAAATTCATATAAAAAAAGTATCAGCAGTATCTTCGAAATATTTTGCATTTTTACTTAGGGCATAGGAACGAACATTTTCACAAAGTTTCATCAAATTCTGAGATGGAGGGTTTCATGACCCGGATGATTTGACGTGGAATGACTCTAATGCTAAGTTACACGGGGTGCCAACTATTGGTAAAATCCACAAATTTATGTGTAAAAAAACTTACTGGTAGACTAAGTTACATGTGCAAACTGCTACCTACATTAATAAAAAACCCCTGCTGCAGCAAACCTGCATAATTATTATTTACTTTACTAAGAAAAATACTTTAAATCATAAACGAAATAAGGTACATTGGTATAATCCGGAGGCCACCCTTATACAGCGCTTCAGTGGTTATGCTAGGTTGGGTTATCTTTAGTTAAATATGTTTGTAGGACTTTCCTCGTTTCAATATGAGTCTAACGATACCAGATGATGATTCATAAGTTACTTTCGCACGCCAAGTCGCCTTCTAGTAGGCCAAGGTTAGGTCGTTGACCGGAGCGCGCGCATCACCTGTAAAAATATATAACTTGTATCAGGGGTTTTTGGCGGGCGAAAGTATGACTCATCTGGTATCGTTCGATTCATAACGAAACGAGGAAAGGCCTTCTTAAACATATATTTGATAACTCAACCTAACATAACCGCTTCAACACACTGTACAGTATACCTACTTGGCGGAGTATAGCGGCGGCGATGCATTTAACTCAATCGCCGACATTGCTGCCGAGGCAGAACTCAAAGTCCGCTGGACAGTAAGACAATAAAAGTAGGTATGTTTTTTCCAATTAAACTTATGTAGTTATTTTCAGTCTTTGGTAAAAAAAATCTCTAAAATAAGGGGCCCCCGGATAATACCAAAGTGTCCAAAATAATGTATCCATCTATCTGATATTATTTTCAATGAACTTAATTAAATACATAAGGTTTAATGACACTGGGATGGTGGCGTCGTCCTGTACTCCAGCTACTACGAGGTCACGAATTGTGGATTTTTATAGGCATGCACTGTGGATGCAATACTCCCTGGTGTGGATTAACGTCTGCACTAGTGAGTACTACGACTATAGGCATTACTATCCTAATAATTGACCAATTCGTTAATACCAAGGTAAAAATGTGGTCCGGATTCCACTAAACTGTACCAGGTCCCTTAGTTGCCATTAGCTGTATGGGCTATTAAAAGCTGTGTCTAAGGAATATGTCAGCCTTAGTTACTGACTAGATTACGAGATAGCGCCTCATCTCCTTTCATACTTGGCTTAAAATACTTAATTTGTATGTTCACCATTTAAATGAAAAGTATTGAAAAATTAAATATTGAGTATTACCTAGGTTTGCTGCTACAGGGAGGGTAACCAAGTGACATATTCTAGTAAAATATTAATAGCTTAGTAAAAAATAAATCAATTTGCCAAGTTTGATCAAAATATATCCATAAACAAGCAAAATACAACAGTTTACTAGCCTAATTCTCCATAAGAGTAACATAGGAATTTAACATTTACAATTTTTGGAAGTTTCACTGTAATCAATAGGTAACTGTACAAAAACACTTCAATATACCTATACTATTTGTTTTTCTAAGCCCTTCAAAATTGTTTAGAGAGAAGTTGGCGAACTTTGTTTTGAGGGTTAAATATGAGAAAAACCGATTTTTACCCCCTAAATCTCCTCATAAAACCCAATTCCCCTGGTCCAATCATGCCAACGGGACTCATTATAGCGATTGAACCAATAACCCTTATGTTTGGCAACAAAATCCTGTTTGGTTAGTTAGTGGTTTTCATTTGTCTTGTTATGACAGAACCGACACTCGAGTCTCCCGAAAAGTATGTAACGAGTCAAACTCATAATTCGTATTCAAGTGGTAAACGGTGAATTATTTTACATGTTTACGGAATGCTTTCTATGGAAAATCCGGAAATGAGCAAGAGGAACATCGTGGATAGAGTTCGAGCTTTAACTGGTGCCAGCAGATGTACCATCGAACAGCTGAAAAAAGAATTTGACAACAAACCATTGGTTACCCTGGGGAAAAAAAACTCGCATGAAAACCTGCACTGACTTCCAAAAAACTGCCATCAGAAGGAAGGTGCATGAGCTTTACACGAAAAATATGCCGCCTACTTCAAAGACTGTCGTACAAATGATCAATGAAGATCCTCACCTAGACCACATGTCACTGATCGAACCACAAGACGAGTTCTCAACGACTTGGGCTTCAAGTTTGAAAGGGGACAAATTCTTATTGAAAGTCTTATCTTATTAAGCGTGAAGACATTGTGCAGTGTAGGAAGAAATATTTGATAAAAGTCAAACGATTTAGAGAGGAAAAGAAACAAATATTTTACCTGGACGAGTCTTTGGTGAAATACTGGCCATACTACAAAAAAGGCGTGGACACCTAAATATATAGAATCAGTAAGAGACTTAGTGCACATGAACGGTGAGACAACAGGGCTGCGAGACTTGTCGGGATGAGGGGGGCACCTTATAATGGTTCATATTGGCAGTAAAGATGGGTTTTTGAGAGATCCGGCCAAACCGTCAGGCGACATTGATGCTCATTGGGTGTTTAAAGCGAAAAATAACAGCAAAGATAGAAAACGCAAAATCATCACGATGAAATGAACGGAAAAGTTTTTTAGGATTGGTTCGAGGGCATCCTTCACTTGCTGCCCCCAAGACAGTGTCATTAATGGACAATCCCTCCAATAACAGTGAAACTCTATTTAAGATCCCGAACATGAGTTGGAGAAAATTTATATCCAGAACTTTTTTACGAGCCATTGGGTGTTTTTCAACCAAAGTTACTGTATGTTAAAGCAGAACTTTTAACTCCGATTCCAACTCACTTGCACTTAGCTGCTACAACCAACAACCTATAAAATAGATCAAGCTGAAGATTGTGGCCATACAGTTCTGCGACTTCCACCTTATCATTGTGAGCTGAACCTTATTGAACTGTATTTAAAAACTTGCAATTCTGTGTTAACATGCAATATAGCTATATTAAACTTAGGAAAAATCAGGAGACTTCCACCAAGACAAAATAGTTATGAAGTTCACATTTCGTCTATTAATTACCCCAGCCTTCCCTATGCCTTGGATCAAATATATAGAACTTAATTCTTTATAATTTTATTAAAGATTCTTGTGTTTTGTATCCATGGCTAAATTTAATGTTTTATTTTTTAGGCCTAGTATACCAAAGAGAAGGGCACTGTACGCTGTTGAACAGGTTACAAAGCAAGATTTGACACCTCTCCAGAGACTTAAAAAATTTAAGGTAAGTAGTTTAATCCCTCGAGTATTAAGCCTTGATCTGCAAGCAGTAGTTGGCATATTGATCTTAGATTCTGTCTTGTTGTATTCAACTAATTAAAAATGTATACATATTAAAATTTAGTACCATTAGATATGTTTGGTTGAAAATAAACTGATTTAATTTAAATAGGCCTACTTAACAATATATATATATATACAGTATATAACTATTTATGTAGGCTTATGTATTTTTTTTTTTTTAGTTTTTTAGTTTGTAAGCTAAAATAAAAACATTTCAATGTTAGGTAGGCCTACTCAAAGTGAAAATACTAAATCAAAACTTTTGTGTAGTGTGTAGCCAAATAATTGTAAATCCAGGATATTTATGGGAACTTGATACGGTATTCACCCAGGTTAATACTAAGGGGACATCACATCACTATGTGTAATCTAGGGGTAGATTGTTCTGGGCTTTTTTCAAACACATGGTGTTTGACCATACTCTGTAAAAACCCACACTATACAGTTTTGTGCACCATACAAACACACTAAGCCTGTGTTAAGTTTAGTGTACTGTATAATATATACCCACACTCCCTATTAAAAGCTAAGCTGTAGGCTAACTTTGTTTAGACATAGTGTTGTCCTACAATTGGAGGATGTAGTATTGACCACTCAACCATGAGATGTCCATATGTAGGGTGTGGTTCTCATCACCAAACCCCTCATTATCATGCCTTCCTGTCGTGTCCAGCAGGTAAAGGCCTACTTCCATGTAACTCGTTAGGTACAGTATTCCATCTGAAATTGAATCACTAAAAATACATTTTTTGTAGCTGTGTTATTGAGTTACCGGTTAGTTGTTGGCTATCATATTGTGTCCAGTTCTATTATTAAACTACACCCAATTGGAACAAAAAACCAGCTGTTTTAATCCATAACAAACTGTCAAATGCAAGTAGGCCTATAGGCTATCATATAAGAGTGATTTTGACCATCAACTGTAAAATAAATTGTAATTCCACTGAAACTTAAATAAAAGCCAAAATTAGTTGTAATTGTAAATAGCCTAAAACGTGAGTTTCCTTTACATTGCTTTTACAATCAAAATCAACTTTACTGAGCCATGGCCCGCTCCCCCGGTACTTTTTACCTAAAGTTCTTAGTTACTCTATTTGTACTGTGTAGTTGGCTGAATCAGTGTTTTTAAAAATAAATGAAATCATTGGAGTTGTAACTTTGAAGATTGTAATGAAGTGCAATGAATAAACCTTTGCTGTGAGTAGTCATAGAAGAAAAAAACCAGATCTTTACTTTAGGATGGCTGTTTTCTTGACTTTTTTGCTAATTAATTCCTAAGTTTTAGGCCTAATAGGTACTAATTTTGTTGCAGAAACTACAAGAAAAACAAGCCAAAGTACAAAAAAGTCACACGAAAGAACCTGGTGTAAAAAGAGTAACGTTTGCTGACGAAATGACTTCTGAAGTGGTTGCGGTTAATGGGTCTCACGAGAAAGACTTAGACAACGATGAAAAGATATTAAAACCAAGAAAATCAATCCTTTCAAATGATCATGTTTCACCATTGCAAAATGGTAACAATGAAAATGGATCTGTTTCTGATAATACAGAAAGTGAGGGTATTGAAAATGGTAATGATGCAGATATTCAAAATGGGGAGGCTAGTAAGTCTGACAAGAGAAGTCTACGACAAAAGAATTTGCATGAAAAAAGAGAAGGCACTCCAACCAGGCAGTCCTTGCCTAGGGAAACCAAAATTGTGAAAGAACCCACTCCTAAACCTGAGACACCGAATAAGAGAGAGAAATCAAAACCTAGAGGGACCCCTGCTAAGGTTAATTCCTCAGAAAGTAATCCTGATCTAAGTGTACCCAAGCTGAATGATGGACATAAGGATGGCTCTGAACGTAGGACTGCAGCCTCTGATGAACTTGTTGTTTCAAAAAATGAAGAAAGCATTGCCATTGTTGGTGATGGGATTAACGAGAGTAAAAATGTAAATAGTATCGCAGGAAGTGAAGAAGACGTCGTGAAAGAGAAACCACAAGAAAAAAGCTTTTTTTCTGCATTTCGAAGGATTAGTAGGTCTTCCTTGGAAACAAAAGACACATGTGAGGCTAGCAGTTCCAGTGTATGTCTTGATTCATCATCTATCAAAGAGGCGAATGTCGTACCCTCCGGAGAGATCAAAGGAAGAAAACCAATAAATTCTTTTTCCAGGTTCCCTGGGAGGAATGTGAGCATTACATCTCTTGATAAATCATTGAAGAGAAAAGCAAATGAATCATTTGAAGAAGAAGAAGAAGAAGATAGAAAAAGATTTGCTGGGGAAACTGCAAGCGGCTCAGAAAAATCACCAGGTATGTTCATTTGAAGTATGAGAATCCAAGATATGATTCAGTCATAAATGTAGTAAAAAAAGAAATTGTAGGTATATACCAAGGTGTATAAAAGAAGGTGTGTGCACGCGCATCCCCCACATCTCCAATCAGGCAAAATTTGACGTAGTGTGCAAGGCACAGCTCATGCTACAGCTGAGCTGTATGTTAGGCAGGAAACACTAGTCCACCGACGATTCCTCAACAAAGTAAGTTGTAATTAGCTGGCAATGCCGTTTTGCACTGATTTTGGATGTGGTAATTCAAACAAGAAAAGTAGTTGCTCTAAAGTTAAGTTTCATCGGTTCTTGAAAAAATCTGGATTACAAAACAAATGGATATATGCATGCGAAAAGACAAGGCAATTACTTTATTTAAAACAATATTATTAATTAATTATATTATGACCTAACAAATTTAAACTCTGTCGTCGTTAGGCCTACTGTACGTGATTCACTAACGATTGTGATTTTACGGAAGATTTCGGTGTGGTTTTTCCATTGTCACGTGCGACGCATATGGAACAGTTTGACAATGGCCACGCTCGTCTTAAAGCCTGTTGTCCAAGAATGCGGCTGTTGCGTCTGACGCTGAGGAATAGACGGTGGCGATAGACTCTCAGCGACTGCTAAGCATTGATTTCAATGGGAACTGCTCTGTGAGCAGACGGGATCGCTGAGGGCCAGCGTCTTTTGCAGTGTTGTGTCTGTGTACACCCGTATATTCCATACTATACAGTATCTTAATGTAATAGCTAACTTTTCTTCTCTTGTTAATGGACATGGAGTGCAATTGCATAATGTTTTGACATATTCTCTTCTTCTAGCAAGTCCTAAATGAACTTATATTGTTTCCTTTAAAAAGTAAAAAAAAAAATAACTAAACAGCCTCTTGTATGCATTAAAGTGGTTTTTAATAAGTATTTTAAAACATCCTTTCTCTTTTTGAAAACACTTTGAGTACAAAATCCATGTTCACTATCTAGGTTCACTAACTAGATCTAGAATTTCCTCTTCTATCTCTTCGATCATCAGGATCTTCAACACTTTGCTCTTAAACTCATAGTGAGAGCAAAATACACGTCTATTCAGTTCAACAGTTGGTTGCTGACTGTATTGAAATTCTTGGACAATGGTCCTTGAAGCGATCGACGCCCAGCGATCATCACCCGGCGATGCCCGCTCTGCTATGATCGCTTCAGACGAGATAGGTTTTTGGGGCTAGCCAGGGAGACTGGGGTAGAATGCCACACTTACTTACTTACTTACTGCTGGGGCGCTACAAATCGCAGTCGATTCTTCGCCTCATAGATCAGCCTCTTCCACGCTTCTCTGTCCGCTGCCATCTCCACTGTCCCTCCACACTGACTCACATCTCTCTTAACTTGGTCATACCATCTCATTTTTGGTCTACCCAGTGGACGCTTTCCAGTTGGTACAGCAGAAAAGCGTCCACTGGGTAGACCAAAAATGAGATGGTCTTGAAAAAAAAACAAGAATGCCACACTAGCAATACAAATTGTCCGTGTCCGTGATCTGCACTCCCCCCCCCTCCTCCTCCAAACTCACTACACAGTAAAGCAGTCAGGTAAAAACTAGAACTCTGTGGGGAAAAATCCCATAAGACGCAATGCCCCGCGACTTGTTGTACGTGCAATGCCCTTGGAATGTTGCACGCAGAGAATACACGTGCAATTCAGTTTGTCAAATTGGGTAACGTATTTACGGACTTTTTACTATATTGTGGCCTGCCACATATAATATACCGTTATCATTGATATATAACTGAAGTATTTATATATCGATGACCCAAACCCACAAGTAACGCCTGTGGAAAAAAATTCAGCGAGGTAAGATAAGTGTGGCCCCGGCCTTTAGGTAGCCATAGTTACAGTTACTGCTTTACTGTTATTTAATTAAAAGTTCTTCCTCGTATCAAATGTTCTTGACTACTGCCATACTAATGCTACTCTATTCAATATTGAATACAACGCTAAATTGGATATATAACACTAAATAGTTTTATATATTCAATGCTAATTTGTAACGAATGTCATTTGAAAGTCTTTGAGAAATTACAAGAAAACATATGATTTGGTAAAATAAAACTTGTTCAGCTCGCACGTGACGTAGCTGCGCGAACTGGACGAATTTACGCCTTGCTATGCTCACACCTTATTTTATACACCTTGCGTATATACTCCAGTAGAGACTCAGATTATCTGCCTTTCCGTTTTATCGAAACCTCAATGACCTCCATGCACTTACTTGATACTTGATGTCTTCATCTTTGACTGGATTTCCAGATGGATTGTGTCGGGTTATTTCTTAATTTTTACATTTGCATTTTGCCATCATTCTCGTCCAGGGAACAGATAACATAATGCTCGATGATTGAGTACCGGGAAATTGTTTGCTATTTTCACCCAAAATTTAGACTACCCCACCTTGTTATTTAAGCTATTGAGGTATTTAGTTCTAACAACGATGTTATGCCTCGGCCCTTTTAAAATCAGCAGATTTATTATTTCCTATTTAAATAACATTTTTTTTAATGAGCACTTCAGTTTGCTGCTACAGGGGAGGTAATGAGGTGAGTTTTTAGCGAATTTCTCTATAGAGAAGTAGCTATCGCCATAGGTGGCACGGTAAGACCTAGGTCCGGGACCGATTTACTTTTTCATTTTATGTCCCCAGAGGCTTAATGGCCCCAGGCCCCCATTGTGGTGTAGTGGCTAATTAGCAGTAGTTAGTAAGTAAAGTTAGCGGATTGAGTCTTTTGTGCAAGGAAAGTAGTAAAAAGAAGAGGAATTACTAAGATAAAGTAGAAACCAATAATTTTGTATTTAACATTTTTAGTATAGAACAATTATAGCAAACATTTATATAAATTAATTAAAATGTATTAAGTAATAGCCTATTGGTTTTCCTTTCAGATAGCCATAAATTGTATGATAAATTCAGTTCAGCTACACGAATTGTAGGGACCATCTGTAGATAGGAGAAAGTTATAATTTTGTATATTAACATTTTTTGTATTGAACAATTATTGTAGTAAATATTCATATATATTAATTAAAATATGATGCTCATTTTCAATATGGTTCAAAAGTATTTCTGATAAAATACTGGAGAGGGGTGAACCCATTGCTAGGCCATCTTTTTGGACATAGAAGTCATTTTGGAATCTGAAATAGTTTTGTTTCAATACAATTCTTGTGAGGTTAATGAGTTCATCTATTGCGTTTTTATTTGGCAGGTTTGCTGCGGCGGGGGTATTTCATTGAATTGTTGGTAGCTTAATATGAAATAAACAAAATTAACAATCTGAATGTAATATATTCATATACAGTACAAGTTAACTACAACAGTTTATTTACCTGTTCTCCATAAGAATAATATGTGAATTTTAAATTGAAAACTTTTTTAATTATATTTGTAACTGTTAGGCATACAAGAACGCTTCAAGATACTAATTTATTTATTTTTTTAAGTTCAACTAAATGGTTTAGAAAGATATTAAAAAATTTTATGTTTTTAGGGTCAAAAATGGGAAAAATAAATTTTTACCCCATAAGCCCTGTTCCCATAGTCCAATCATGCTGGTTCGCGACAAATGTAGGTACCTATATATTAGTACCAAATTTCATCAAAATCTGATCATTTTTGCTTAAGCTATCGTGCTAACTGACACACACACACATATAGCCTATATTAATTTGAACCGATGGTGTTTTTGGCCTCTGGGGATCTCAAAACAAAAAAGTAAATTGGTCCCGGGACTAGGTCTTACCATGAGACCTATGTTATTCCCTATATGGGAAATTCGCTAAAAAATCAAATAGAATCTTAAGTTGTAAAGCATATTCATACGCAACTCAATTTAAAATAGGCCTACTTAAAAAATAACAATTAATCATATTTCATAATTGTAAAATTTCATAACCATATCTGTCATTGAAAATATCTAGATACTATGTTCTTCATATAATTATTTTAACACTGTTAAACTAGCTTTATTTATTTTCTGATGTTTTCCCACCCTATCCACTATCCAACTTATGTGTCTGGCTTCACAGGGTGGAGTTTCTTCTCTCCATCATTCAGGGTTTGGTCCCCACCTCAGGCTCCCAAGACCTATCTACCTACCTCCACTCCCTTCCATAAGAGGGAAGAACAAGACTCCATGGCAGTCAACTATGATTCCAAAACCAAGTTGGACCTCGATGAGTCTATCGAAAGCGATGCATTGTCCTCACAACAGAAGGCCAATAAATGGTGTACAATCATGTAAGGAAATATTTTATCTTTTTAGAATAGACCCTAGTGATATACACAATCTCCTCAAGACTCTCATTTTGTGTTATTTAGTCTGAAACATCTATCAGTGCAATCTGTTATGTAGCTATGTTAAATTTATACTTCTCCATCTGAAAAGTTTGTAGCTTAATCCATATTTTGGCCAACAAAGTAAAATTGTTATTTTTGCTGGAACTATAACAGAAAAGTGTCTCTATATTAAAAAAAAAAACCAGTTTTAGAAACAAGATTATGCTGGTAGTTATTTTTAATCCCTATAGAATCGATAAGGAAGTTTTTTAAGAAAACACAATGGCCCAGAAACATTTTAAATAACTACTAAAGATGTTTAAGAAATATTCTGGAGTAAAACTTTTAAATTAAATATTAAACTAACAAAAATAAATGGCACATTTGAAAAACTGTTTATGGTTGTAAATATTTCTGCGTAAGCCTTTCTGCTGTTAAAATATGAAAATAAATTAAACACTCATTACAGAATACTTATATATTTGATAATTAAAATCAGAACTTTGGAAGTTAACAAATTTGTTTTGGAAAAAAGAACTTAACAGTTATACGTCAGTTTTGGTTTTATAGTTCTACATTGTATTGATTTTGTTATATGCTATTCATATTAACGAGAAAAGCTTCTAAGCTCTCTAAAAAGATATAGAACTAACTCATTTTAGTTTAAAAATAAAGATCTTATCAATGTCCGGTGTACTTTGGTACCTACTTAATATTGGTTTATTGTTTATATATTATAGGTAGTATTTTTTATGTATTTGTTCATGTATAAAACCAATTTGTTTAGTAATATTATCTTAAGTATATTAGTTAGCATTATAAAGAACATGTCTTTTGATATTGTACTTTTTGTCATGAGTTACAATGCCTGTATCAGTTTAATGGGTCTAAGATAGATTTTTCACTGTCTCTTCTATTGTTTCAACAGTTGAGTCCATTCTGTAAAACATTTTAAAAGAACTCATGAGAGGTTAATTCAAACTCTTACTTTGGTTATATTTTAATTAGTTGTTATTAATTGCTATTTGATCACGGATCAAGCTTAATTCAAAGTTAACATACAAAATGTGTATTGAATCCTTGAAATTATTAATAGCTCTATTAAAATGCACCTGGAATTCACTAAATTAAACTCTGGTATGCCGTGTCTCCATTCTCATATGAACCAGTGTTTGAAAATACAATTCTGAATAAATCAGTTTATGGCTTAAATTACCCAACACAATACATTCATATTTGTTCATATTTGTTATTATTTTGTTGTGTTTCTACCTAGAAGCAACTATCCGACTAAACGAAACCTTTAGGTATTAGGAGCAAGGTAAGGTTTCAATTAATTAGGATCAAGATCTACTCTTTGTGTATTATATATTTAGCGATAAAATATTTATGTTTAGTATTTATGTTGTAACTTTTTCACGAATTAGAAAATAATAGCATTAAGACTTGTGTTGTACTGGTCCAAAACATAAAAGAAAACAAATTAATTTATTAAGAACAAAATTGCTGTACCTGGTAGGTGTTGAGTGATTTAAGGCTAAGATTGTGTTTTATAGACATTGTAAAGACTTAGTTGTTTGAAATGAAAGATAAAATGAGATCTCAAAATGAGATTTCAAAGGTTAGGAAACCAAACATCACAATGGAAGAGGTACGAAAAGGAATCAAGTTGTATTGGAATATTTCCTTAACCTAATACAATAGTTTTACATAATAGTACAATAAACATAACCAATGCCATTAATTGCACCACCTATGGTCTGAAATGTGCCAATTTTGAATAATTAATATTAATATTATGATTTTTTGTTTGGAAGCCAAATAACAAAACACAACGTTCAACCAACTTGTGAGCTCGAGTTTAGAGAAAGTGATATTTTTTTATATTGGTTATTGATAAGTTATTTATGAAACATTTTTTTGTATCTCTTAGTGTTAATTTTTATCCTTCATTAATTAGATTAGTTGAAAATTAAATTATTCGTAATTAATTAGATTAGTCCAAATTGAGTTATTTGATTGATATAAAAAAATATGTCACTTATATGAAATTTTCCTTATTTATGAGTTAAGGATATTAACAAAATTCTATAAATTCTGGTATTGAACAGAATACTTTCTATAACTAATATTTGTTCAAACCAAAGCTTTGTTTTGTAATAAAATATGGTAACTCTTTATTTACATACATTTATGTTATTAGCTGTTTTATATTTAGAACAATAAATTATTTTATGAAGCCGATTGGTAATTGAAATTATCCTATTTTCCTGTCACATGGGTTAAGCTTGTATTTAAAAAGTTATGTATGAACTAAAGAATCATTACTTACCAGTTTTTTTTCTTCATATTATCAAATCAAATAATTAACTATTTATGTCCTGCATAACATTTACAGTGAATGGTAGTGACGCTTATTTTTAGGCGTAATATATATATATATGTACTTAAATGATGTACAATTGAATCATGACAGTATTAATTGTCAAACTCCTGTTGTAACAACACCATTTACTTGACTTATAAATTCATTGAAGGAATAACAAGGGGTGTCAACTGTCAATCATAAATATTTAAAATTTTTTACTCTCTTTTTAATTTTCTGGCGATCTATTAAAACATTTCTTTTAATTTTCTTGTAAAACTCTGATTTATGTATTCAAAATTCAGATTATTCTGTGTCTAATATGAGCATTATACTTTCAACCTAGCTTAATTCTATCACATTTTTCCTCAGTTTTAATGTGTTATTGCTCTGTGTACACCAATTTTATGTGCTATATGTGAGTGAATGAAACGTAGGAAAAGTAAATAAGCTTCTGGGAATGTTTTTCCCATCAACAAATTAGCATGATTTTAGTGATTTATTGCTGGACCACTAATCTTTGTTACCATCAGAATGTATGGATTTTTAAACTAAATGCTTACTTTTAAAAGACTATCAATACAACTCATGTTATCATGAACCTTATAATACAGAGGAGCCTGGTAAATTGCTCTGTTTACACTGTATTCACACTACTAATCATACTGTATTGGCACTGTTGGTTTTTTGTGGAAAGGGAGTTAAGGTATAGCTAGCTGTGGCTAATTTGAGCTGCTGGCCTATCTTGTGCTTTAAGTAAATCCCTACAGATGCAAAACACTATTTTCTCTTATTTCCCTTTGCATCATTGCCACCTTTCATGGGGATGTAAACCTTCTCAGGGCTAGGGCTGGACAGTTCAGTAGGTGTTCACAATCTTAATTGACCCATTACCAATTAGGCTAACTAATATTCTGATATCTTAGAACCAAAATGTCTTTTCAGTTCCCCGTGCGGTTTCCGGGTTAGAATAGGACCGCAGCCTTTCCCGGCTTGTCGTAAGAGGCGACTAACAGGGACTGTTCACTCTTCAGGCCCCCAACTTTTTCTCCTACCAAATCTTCTTCTTAGGTTCGGTCCTAAAAATATTTTTTCTGTTCTTTCTACAACCCATTTTGGGAAATTCTTTCTTTTGTGGCACACTAGGAGGCCCTGAGAGTGGTCATCATGTGTAGTGGGGCTGATGTGTGAACAGAGGCATGCACCTACAAAGGCTAGGAAAAGCAGCTATTAAGGGCTGGGCTACTCTACGGTACTGTTATCTGGCAGATAACCTGCATTTTCAATTATTAAGCTATCCTATTTCATTTGTTGGTTTGACCTGCTAATAACGTTCAAAATAATTATTCATTGTAAAAATATAAATATTTTGAAAATACACCAGACAGGTTTGACAATATACGAACCTTTCAGTTGATGTAACTAGCAGAGTTAAGAATATCATCATGGCTTTACATAAGTCTGGAAGGCTTCTTGCTATGGTATTGTTTTCTATCATGAGAAATTCTGCCAATTCCCTTTTGGTTGTCATTCCTCTACTTTTTATATCTTCGGACGCAATGTTTTTCAAAGGTACAACTTGCATTTCCAAGACATTAGACACGTCTGCCTCATATTAAATACAAAATCTTTAGGTAGATGTTTTAAACTTATTTTTTGTTTGTTCAGTTATGTTCTTTGGGCAGAGCCGCATTTAGCCATCGGCGCCCCTAGGCACACAAAGCAGATGTGCCCTGCAGTAATATTGGTTGCGAAACGTAAATAATGTCACGATAATTTTCCTTGAGTAGAATATACAAGGATAATCCGTTGATATTTTAAATCGATCAACTCCTTTAAAATGTATAATATCATATTAAACTTCGCAGTAATTGGAATGTAACCTGTCCGTAATACTACACCTCTAATGACTAATGAGATTAACTGATCAATGTTAAATACCTTCCGTCAGAAAATCTCAATCTTGTAAAATGTAGAAGTGGAACATTTACAATACCATATTGTATCCAAAATAAATTATGTCCATGTAGCCTATTGAAAATCAGAAATAATTACTTCATTATACATAATTTGAAAATATAATTGATGCAAAATTAAATTTTGAGATTCATTATAAATACATAGCATAACAAAGTGCAATAAAAACTTAAGGTACAAAAAAACAATCAGTTCTATGAAGTCAAGTTCTTATTTTAAGACAGTTTTCTTCGTTGCTTGGACAAATTCATGTTACTTCTTCAAAGTCAAGGCTTTCAGTTAGGTCAGATTCTATGGCCATGACAGAAAGTGCATTGAGTTTGCACTGGCTTAAGGAGTTACGTAAATGGTTCTTCACGGTTGTGTGTTGTTTTTTTTGTCTAATTTTTACTTTCTCTTTCCTTTTCTGAATTTTCACTCTTCAAATAATACTTGAATTTCACTTGCTCATCGTCCAAGTTGGCATCAAAATCCAATCCCGATTCATCAGTTAAATTGTCGTTATCATAAATTCACCTATTGCATCGTCTCTGAGCAAAATACTGGCACGATTCAACATTGTTTACTAACAAAGCATATAAACAGAATTACACAACAGGTTAGTAAACAGGGAAGAATAACACAGCTGACTTTTGGCAGTCGCTGCAGGGATGTCATTCCTAAGTTTCAAGTTTACAGCTTTGCGCGAAGAGAGAAAATACAGCTGGATCAGTTTGTGGTTTCCAGTTTAGATTTTCATTTTCAGTAATACCTAAAAAATTCACATTTTGCTGCAGTGGCATTTTAGATTTTGATATTGTAATTTTATCTGTTTTAAATTGATTATCAGAACTAAAATCCATAAGCTGAGTATTATCATCATTCATAACCAATCCATTCACCTGGAACCAATCTCTGAGAGCTTGTATCTCCCTGTCCAGGGTTTGCCGCAGGGAGTGGATACTGGGTGCTGTACATCGCACCATTGTATAGTCTGCATACTGAAAGAGTTCCATATTTTTGAGACTTGAGGTAGTTCATTAACTCTTTTAAAGTCAGAACTTAAATAGGAACTTTGGGAGCTGTGGGACATGAAGTCAAATTTGACGTCGAGCTGTTTTCGGTTCAAATACAGGATGTTTACAGTTTCTCTTCCGTACAGTTATTTTTCTTTCAAGAATGTCAAGCCTAACTGAATAAAACTCACTAACAACACTAATAAAACACTAAAATATTATCCAGAAATATTTACACTCAAAAACTATTTACATTTGGTATGAAACTGGAGGTAGCAGTTTTTCTTTAGCATCGGTGCTGTCCGAAACAATAGAGGATGGATTCCTCTTTGGCACTTTTTGCAGCAGTACCTTGATCTTTTTCTTTGGCCACCACTAGCAGTACTGATTGGACTACAAACTGCACAGTTCTTTTCCAATCTACCAGGTAAATTATCAATGCCATACCCATCTCCGCTGCCACCTGCCATAGGCCAAGGCCACACTAAAAAAAGTTTCTTTAGTGTGGCCTTGCATAGGCTGTTCATGTCCGCTACGAGTCGCTAACCACTCTTCAGCCAAGTCATCAATTATTTGAGCTGTATAGTCATATCTTGGCAAAAGTTCCTAGTATAGAAGGTAGCTATTTAAAACCATTCTGCCCATGATGTTGATCTCAACTTTCCGCCAATACTTTATCGTTCTTCTTTCATCGATGTAACAATAGATCATCTGGTCAAAAGTGTCTTATGTCGCCCATATACATATTGTATTTATCAATAATTTCAGGTTTTCTGTAAGTCAACACTCCATTATTCCTCTTCTTAGTTTTTTCAACTGTTTTGGCTTTGAATTTGGTTCATAGCAATAACACTGGGTTTTTCTGGTTTTTCTTTTGGCGGTAACTTAACATCAGCACCTCCTTATTCAGCATGTAGCACTATTGCCCTACAGCTAGCTTATCCTTTATCCTATTTGGGATTTCTTGGGTTTTTCTTCTTATTGTTCCTGTGACATAAGTTTCTTTTGAAAAAAAATCCCTTGCTAAGGGTAGTGACATGAATAAATTATCCATGAACATGTGGTAGCCTTTATTCAGATACTGCCTGATTTCCAATAATTTAACTACCACATTATATGCTAAGCCTTGCTGGTTATTTTCTGTTAATTCATTATCTGTTTTACCCTTATAGCAGAAAAACCCCAGGCAATAGTTGGAAACTGAATCACAGACCATCCATAGTTTTATTCCTCATCTATGGTGGTGTTTATTCGGGAGGTACCGTGTCATCGTGTGGCTTTTCGTTCCGATTAGGCTCTCGTCTACATACAACTCTCTGTGTGGAACATAATACTTCTTAAGTGTCAATGTCAAATTGAGGGAGAATCTGAAGGATTTTTTTATTTGTTATTTTATAAAAAGTTAGTATTTGTTTCCTAGTATGTTACTCTACAACATCCAGATACTGGTCAAGCTTAACACGTTTTATTTTGTATTTTTAATACAATTTTAGGTAATCAATCCAAAAAAATGTTCAGTAGCTCACGTAAAAAAAAATTAAAACTCATATAAAAGAACTTTTTCTTTTCAACCAAGTGGTTTATTTAAAACTATAAACGTTTTTCTTTCATTTTGAATAAAAAAAAAAATATTTTCCCCCTTTATGCTTTTTTAACAATTATTTGGTCATTTTCTATGAATTAGCAAAAAACTAAAAAATGATTTTTCAATACAAAGAAGAAATAATTTGTTTAACCAAATTATACCTTATAAATCATTAGGTTTTAGTGTGAATTTTACAATTTTGGAAAAGTTGTCACGAAAAATGAAAGCGTGAGCGACCTGACGCAACGTGAGCTACCTGACAGCGCAACGTCA